TCTGCACCGTGCCCCAGGCAGGGCGGCTCTGGGGTGAGGGCATAGGGCTCCCTCTGGCACCTCTGAGCAGGAAGGACCTGGCTCTGTTTGATCCAGAGGGGCGAGTGCGAGGTGGCTCTCCTCAGACTCACCAAGCTGTCTGAGCCCATTCCTCAGGGCGTCAAGGGAGGTGGGAAAGGAAAACATCAGGTTCTCCCGCCCGTCACCTGCAGTCCTTGTCCCGCCTGCATCTGCAGGCATTGGGAAGCCACTAGCACCGAGTCACCACATGATGCAGCCCCGCACATCCCCTCACCCAGCCTAGGGTCTGCCAGCGCCTCTCTCGGAGGTGCTGGGTCCTGGAAGAGCAGAATAGGAAGATGGCCCAGGAAGCACCTGGTGCCCAGCAAGGGGTGGCCCCATGGGCATGGTCTTGGGGTCACCACCCACAAATGCAGCTGTGGGATCCACCCCTGCCTCCCGCACTCGAGCCCTCGGCACACAGCCAGCTGTGCAGGGACCTCTGGGCAGGGCTCCACACACCTGTGAACTTAGGGGCCGAGCAGCCGAGGCCCCCACGAAGGCTGAGCAAAGGTCACAGCGTCTGTGCTCTTTTGTCAAAATCAGGGCCATGCCGAGCCGTGGGGCTTCTAATGGCCCAAATTGTCTGTCTGCCTGTCTATCTACTTATATTTTTGTTTCGTTTTTTTGAGGCAGGGTCTCACTGTGTAGCCCAGTATGGCCTTGAACTCCTGTGATCCTCCTGCCTCAGCTCCCAAGTGCTGGCATGACAAGCGTGCACCTGCAAGCCTGGCTGAAATGGCAGCCTGCTCTGAGACAGCGTCTCTGATGTCACAGGCATTGTCTGTTGATGCAGCGTGCAAGGAGCAAGGGCCTGTTTTGGAATCTTTGCGGTGGTTTTTCACCTGCAGTACGCCATCTATGTGAACCCTGCGATTAGACCGGAAGGCCAAGCCGATGAGTCAGGCGCTCGTCCTGCATGGGAACTGTGTTTCTATGCCTGATCCAGGGACCTCCTTCTTGCACACCACGCCTCTTCTCCAGGCCCTTGTTTTGGAGACAACTGGACCAGCCACTGGCTGCCTGCTGCTTAGTACATGATGTCCTCTCTTGTGTCGCCACATTGCCTGTGGGTGGACAGGACACTCGTTAGGTCTCTGTCAGGACAGGATGCCCCACTGAGCAGGGGGCGAGGAGGCAGAGGCAGGAGGATGCAGGGCTGCCAGGGTGGGAGGTGGCCGGAAGGGGGCAGGATCCGCCTTGGCCAGGAGGTGCTGGGTAGAGAAAGCCAGGCTGCCAGAGGAGGTGAAGCACAGTTTCCAGTTATCCTGGCTCTGGGTTGGACGACTGGGCACAGAAAAATCTACATTCAGTCTTCCCACCTGCACGCAGACAGGCTGTGGTAGGCGGTCAGGGAGGACGAGGCAGGTGCGTGCTGCATCTGTGGCGGCCCGTCTGCAGTGTGTGCAAAGGCTGAGCATGGCGCAGAGGCGGACAGCAGGCTGGGCTTCAACCTGTCCTCCAGCTTCCTAAGCTGGCGGATGCCAGGGTCTTTCCAGATCTCCTCGGCCTGTGCAAATCTGTGGGCGCGAGGCTGAGGCTCCTCCAAGCACACTGCCATGCCTTACATTTTTTCAGTTTTAGACTCTTAGAGGCAAAGGAGCGCTTAGGGTTTATCCAGTGCCTACATTTTGAAAACAAGGGCAGAAACACCTAAGGTTCACCTTGTTAACTCTTTTTCCTTATTTTTTTGGAAACAGCTCAATACAGTCCAGGCTGATCTTGGACCTGTGACCTTCCTGGCTCAGCCTCCCGATGGCTAGGTTACTGGCTGTGCGGCCACATCCTGCTCATTTAACCTGGGTCCAGCTGGCAGGACCAAACCTCCCCGCAGCCGTGCCGCGCTCCCGCTGTCTCTCCAGGCGGGGATGTCTTCTGGGGCACGACTCTGCCCCGCGTCCTCCGCCGCTGGCAGCGCCACTCCGTCTAGGGTCTAGGGACGAGGAGGGCTTTCTGTGCGAGCGCACACGGATCTGTCCTTTCGGGCCTGGCTCGGGGCACCCAGCGTCGCCTCTTCCAGCTCGCCCGTGCTGCTGCAGCCATCAGCGGCCGCGTGCTGACCGCGCCTGGTGAGCGCCCTGGACACGGGTGTGGAGTCCCAGCCCGGCGCGAGTGCAAGGTGCACGAGTGCGAGGTGCACGAGTGCGTGGTGCAAGGCCGCAGCACCGCCGCAGCAGCCCGGGCCGGCTCCGAGGCCTCCCGCAGGCCGACAGAACTGCAGGGACCCGCGGTCGGCCACAGTCTGGTTTGCAGGCCGAGAGCAGGGGCGGGCGAGCGCTTCCTGTACTCCCACGGCGGAGGCTGCATTTGCTGGGTGCCGCTCGAGCTCCGGGTGCGCAGAGCCGCTTGGGGATGGAACGCAGGAGACAGTCAGAGGTGGCCTGGCCCTCGGAGAGGCTCGGTGCGCAGGGAGAGCCTGCGCACTGGTCGGATGCCCTGCGCCGGGAGCGCTCAGCCTGTCTTGGGGCCGACTGCCGGGGAGCTGACCAGGAGCAGGGCGGGCCTTACCTGTGATCCTGCCTGTGCGCAGGGCCTCACATGCCGTCGCCTCCCTGCATTTGAAAAGCTCGAGGCACCGGCGTGACTGTCACGTTTCTACCTGGCCACCCCCGAAAGCCTTAATCCATCACTGGAAGATGGCAATTACAGAGGCGGTAAGGAGGCGGGGCCTGGAGGGAAGGGGCGGGCACATGGGCGTGGCCTGGGGAGGGCGGCCTGTGAGCGTGGCCTGGAAGGGGGCGTTATCTCACTCCTGTTCTCCCTCCTCTCTGCTTCCTGTGTCCCATGCTGTGAGCTGCTCTCCTCCGCCGGGCTCTTCCACTTCGCTATTTCTTCTTCTGAGTCAGTGGACCCTGGACTGATCCGCCAAAATAAACCTCTCCTAGTTTAAGCTGTGAAAGCTAGGCAGCAATGAGGAAAGTGACTAAGATAGGGACTCTGCAGTTTTTATTTATCTAGAGGTATAAAGCAAAATTTTGCTTTTCCAGAAGATTTTTCTCAAAATTCAATTAATGTAAACTTCATGCCTTACAGCAAAGGTGTTGATACAGAAAAATGCAGCTTGCCCAGGAAATTATCTGTAGACCATGCTCCAGCCAAGTTTTAAAATCCTCTTTAAAATTCCCCTTTTGAACTAATGTCCTCCTCAAAGGAAGCCTGTATTTAAGGTCTATTACTATTTTATTATTTATATCTACACATACCTAGCACTTTAAGTAATTCCAGGAAACATTTTCATTTTTTAAAAAAGAGTTGATATATACAGTATAAATTAAAATTTTTAAAGCACACCATTTGTAACCTCAAGATTTTATAGACATAAAGTGAGAACTCTATTAGCAGAGTTTCTCACAAGAACATGAGAATGCCTTTCTTTAAGCCAAATGTGGCAGGTGTCATTGTGGTACGAAACGTTTAAGCTGTTGTCCCCGTAATGTCAGATATTTCACAGAAACCAAACAAATTCAGTTCCAGATGCCAGTATTGGTCTACATGACATCATTCAGCCAGATGCGTGGAAAATCTGGATTTTTAAGAATTGAGTTTCTGTGGTCAGCATCATGACTCAGTTTTAGGGTTAAATAAGACATTTATGAAACAAAACAATATTGGAATATAACATGCTTTGACTATAGAGAAATAAATTGAGTGGAACACTGGGTGTAATTTCAGGACTGTGAATCAGAACTCATATAAAAATATCATGTACAATGCAAGCAAGACATTTCAAAGCTGCATTTTTAAGGCTCTTAATGAAGCACGTTGAGCACACTGGTGTTTTGAGAGAAGAAAGCAATCACCCGGCACCGACTCAGCCCCACCCCGCTCACTGAGCTTGAACACAACCCAGAAGTGCAGAGGGGAGCTTGTCCATTTGTTTTCACATTTTCAAGGTACTCATGCAACTCCAAGCGGCCCAGGAAAGCATGTGGATATATGAAGGTATGGAAAGTGGGCACACAACTGGAAGATTTAAGGCAGTCAGAACAAGAGACGGTAATCCTTGTGGCAGTGGCTTGGGAGGCAACAGCAGGTATGGAGAGCTCAGGGGCAGGTACCCACCCCAGCCGTAAACCACAGCCCTTCTCCACCTGGAAGGTGAAGTTGCTGGTTCTCAGGCACCTGACCTGGTGGTGCCCCGCCTGGTGGTGCCCGCAGGAAAGCAGCTTTAAGGCAGTGTCTGGAGACCGCACCCCAGGCACAGGGCACATTGCCTACAGAGCCCTACAGATACCCTGGCTCGACCCTCTTGGAGAGGATGCTCCCCTGCATTAGGGGTGAGACCATCACATCTAATTACGAGATGAGAGCAGGTTCTTTACCACATGTGACTCCGACTCTACTCCATGGACCTCCACACACCTCTGTGCACTACTCTGGAACAGAGGGTTCCTGCAACTCAGTTCACGGCAGCCACCCCAACAGGTGCACAAAGCTCTTCCCTCTCCTTGGACTACAAACTCCAGTGCCTCAACTGCCTGCCTCAAGTACATGTTCCGGTCTCCACCCAGCACCCTGCTCCGCAGCGTGGGGGCACCCCTCCAAACACCTCCCAGACTCAACATGGCTCAGCCTTTTCCTGCTTTTCTCCCAGTCCAGCCAGTTCCCGGGGCCCTTCCCAGCATGCACCGGGCTCTGGGGGGCCCACTCTGTCCACCTGCACTCAGTAGCCATCAGCCACCAGCCTTGCCCAGGGCACCTTCGCTTGCCACAGCAAAAGCAGTTCTGGCACCAAAGCCCTCCTCTTCCACCCACCACACCAGATGCACAAGTTGCAGGCATATCTTGTATGATTCTGGAAAACACATGGAGAAGGGCCCAGGGCTGGGGCCAGGGCTGGGGGAGGCGCTGGGCATGCACCTGCCGAGCCAGAGGACAAGATACAGGGCACCTGCGGAATAACAAGCTGCAGCACATACAGAAAAGAGGAGATGGCCCACCTGTGTCTGTTGAGGGATATTTACAAAGCTTGGATCCCGTGGTCCAACACTGACGAATCGGTTTGCGGGGGAGGTGCTGGGTGTCGAGTAGGCTGTGAAGGGAAGGGACACATGCGTTCAGGAAGCAGCACGAGATTGCACACACAAACAACACCAAAACACACAGGCTCTGGACCCGCGCACTGGTCAGGAGGAAATGTGTGGACACTGGCTGGTGAGGGCACCTTCCATGGTGTGAAGGGCAGGCACTCACCGGCCTCTGGTGGGCTCAGAGTCCAGTGGCCATCTCCTCCTCCCAGCACTGAGGAGGGCCCGTGGGACACCTGACGTCTACTGTCTACATCAGACACAAGCTCTGGGGGGAAAGAGAGGCATGGTATTGAGAGCAACCAAGAGAGAAAGGAGGCAGGGAGGGGAGGACACAGCTCACATTGCAACCTGTCTGAACCCTGAGGGGCACGGCTGGCCCTAGGCTGGAGAGGAAGACAGGTCCTCACAGGAAGGAGGTTCTCAGTGGGGGCTCCTGGGAGGAGGTGGAACCATGTAGCATGAGGCCCTCTGCATGCCTGGAGATGTTAGGATGCTGACGTGTGCATGGAGTCTGCCCTGTAGCTCTCCCTTCCTAGGCCCCTTTGGGCACACACTGCCCAGACCCTCGCCTTGGGCTCCACAGGACATGGAAGTCTCACTGCTAGTTTTCATGTTTATACGAAGGTGCTCTGGTCTCATGAGAAAAACATTCAGTGGCTTGGATGTTTCACTGGCTTGCAAATCCAAAGGTAGATTTTGCTTTTGGCATCCCACAATTCATTTATTGACCGCCAACTCCAAGGGTTGTTTCACAGTCCTCCTTTGTTCTGGAGCCTCTGGACCAGTGGTGGTGAACCAACGGTGCGCGTGCCACAGCGGCTGTGATCACTGAAGGCTCTGAAAGGCTCACCATCACTGCTCTAGACTATTTCTTAATTCCAGTAAATATAAGAGGCTAATTTTGGGGGGCTAATTAGATACATACCATCCAGAAGACAAAAAGGATTCATAGTTTCTACAGTACAAATTGTGTTCCCTGTTGACATCATAGGATCCTCTTACTGTGATTTTCTGGTTAATGGGAAACTGCTCCTGCTTCTTGTCCCCTGCTGAACACGTCTGAGAACCGACCCCATCACCTGGCCCCAGTCCTTTTGGTAGGCTTTGGTCAGGGCTAAGCCTCCTGAGCAGATTGGCGATGGTCACGTGGGTGTGGCTGCAGCTGTGCAAAGCCAGGACAGGGGGCGAGCACCCTCCTGCTGTAAATAAACGATTCACCTGGCGACGACCCTGGACCTGACCTGTGTATGTGCTGTATTCCCTGGCCACTGGGTCCCGGCTGCATCCTATCAGTCTAGTCTTAACAGAGTCCAGAGAGACCTCTGCGTTAGCCATTCTGCAGGTGACTCTCGCTCATTTGTAGGGAGGAAATTCAATTTTTTAAAAAGCTCAGTAAAATACTTTTGATGCCTTGTGTCCTTCAGGCCAGACTTTCACCTTGATGTACTTTAAGGAGCCTGAATAGAAAGCTGCTTCTGAAAACCATGGCTGGGGTTCCCTGGCAGTGCATTCTCCAGCCTGGCACACACACACACACTGCAGGAGATGAGGGGGTGAGCCCCCATGGCCCCCAGTGTGGGGGGGTGAGTCTCATCATGCATGGAGGGCGGTGAGCGAGGGTCAGGAAGAGGAACAGAGGAGTAGCCAGGCCTGGCCAGACACTGTGGCCAAGCCAAGCCCTGGCGCAGTGGCCTTGGAAGGACAGCGGGCCGCTGGCTGCTCAGACAGCGCAGGTGCTGCTGCCTGGGGGACACAGTGGCAAGCCTGCCAGCAGGTCGGCTCATGGGCCACATGGACGTGCGTTCTGTGAAGGCGGCTCTCCACGGCCATGGTTCACAGGACTGCACAGGAATCTGTATTACACACTACCCATCAGCACTTAACCTACATATCACTGTTGGAAGGAAGGTTTAGTGTACAAAATATGCAGGCACTCAGATAACTTGAAGGCTTGAGACTGCGTATTTTCCTTTCTCAGTCAAGGGACAAGACCTGGGTGTCCCTGAGGGCCTTTGGTGCTCCATGTGTTTCTTGATTGTTAAAGGACTGTGGTGTGGACAGCGGTGGAGGTAGGTTTGCATTTCTAAAGAGAGGGTTCTGTAACTACCGAAATCCACCCGAGTCACAGAAATTCACCGCATAAGAAGCCAGCTTCCAAGAAAAACTGGGGATGTCAGAAAAGCACGGAGATGGGGAAAGAAACCCCACACCTCTCCCACAGCCATGCCACACTTAGTGTCGCTCTCTGTAACAGGCAACACCCGGCATGGGGTGAATCCGACTTTCTCAAGGAAACTGCGTAATTCTGATATTGAACGAGATCTCCACTGAAACTTTTTATTAGAACAACCACATATACCATGGCGAATCCATGAGAAGGGTGCTGTGGAAACTATACACCACCAGGTTACTATGATATCCTACCACATATGTATCTCCCCAACTGTAATTCCTTCCTTATTTACAAGACTAATAATGGAATGTCCCAAGAAGAGCTTCGGGAAATCGACACCCAGGAAATCTGAGGGAGCACTGCAAATATTTCTGATCTTTGGGAGGGGCTTCTCAAGAGTAATCAACAACTGTTTTGATAATGCCAGATATTCAACTGTATGTCCTCACTGTGCAAACCCTGGGGAAAACGGGACACCAGGACTCAGACTGTTGGTTATTCAGCTGTTTTCAAGGTAGGAAGTATCTGCTTTTCTTCTCAGCAGCCGTTTCATCCATGTCAGCAGTTCCACTCCACTGTCCCCTCACAGGTCTACGGGAGCTCCCTCTGCTCCAACTCCCCCTCTGGTGCATCTCATCACATTATCCAAGCATCTCCGTTGGCCTTCACCACAGCATCAAGTACCAGGATCCCAGCTTGGAGTCAGATCCCCTTCGCAGAGAAGGGCCTTCCCACCTTCCCTTCTCAGAAACAGTGTGCTTCCGTGCTCATCGGGCAGTGTGGCCCTGCCTTGGGTGGCCGACTGGGGCACGGCTCAGAAAGGGCTCTGTCACTGTGAGCCACATTCCCGGGGGCCTGGGCTAGTGCTGGTGTCCGGCTGGGAGGAGGGCAGGGTCAGCCCCTGCATGGCCAGCACACGGGGGAGTCACGCACATGCCCAGCGGGTGGCTCCCGTCCAGAGCACAGCCAGCGATGAGCGAGTCGGGCTGAGGGAACGCGGCCTTGCCAGGTGCTTCAGAGCTGAGCCAGGGAGTCTTCACACAGTGCTGGTCAGAGACTGCCCAACGCGCTGGCAATGGAGACACTTATCTCTTCATGTAAAGTCTTTAAAAAAAGTGATGTCGAGTTACTAAAATATTTGTGCCAATGTCAACTGGTGTTCTCTTATTAATGAAATCGCACTCATGCACATGCACACCTGGCACAGTCGGGGAGCGTGGAAGGCTGGTCCGGAGGCCCTGTGCAGTTGTGGACAGCGGCAGAGGGAGGAAAGACCATCTGTGCCAGCGTGGCCAGTGAAGGGCGGGTTAGGTAGTGTCCTGCTGGCCCAGAGGCGGCAGAACCACCAGGGCCAGGGGAGAGGCTGCAGAGGCCTGAGGGCCTCTTGGTTGAGTTTACCTCAGGTGCAAGCAGCAAGCAGGTGCTCTGTGCAAGCAGGCTGGCCTTCCAGGGATGGAAGTGGATGAAGAACACATCCGGGCTTCACAGAGACCCCACCACGCGAGCGTGGCACGGCCACCAGCTCCCATGCCCACCTCTGCCAGCCCTGCATGCGGGGTAGCACCAGAGGGACTGGCTCTGTCTGAAGACATGTGCCCACACTTGCCCCAGACCAGCACACGTGGAGGGCGAAGGTGACCAGACACCTGCTGCCTTGGGGAAATGTCACTGGGATGGCAAGTGAGAGTCCGAGTGCGCAGTGGTGACGCCAGTGACAGCCTAACCACTCAGGAGTGCAGAGGTGAGCACCGGAGGGGTCGGGTGCGCTCCTGGGAGGAGGGCCTGGCTTCTGGCTGGCTGTGGGGACCCTGGGCCATGGCTCACTGGAGGTCTGGGTGGGGGCCACAGGGGCTGGGGACCGGCCAGGGCAGGGAAGGCGATGGGGACAGGAGGGAAGATGAGCATGAGAAACATGTTCTGCCATTTGGCAAGGAAAGGCAGTGTCAAGGCTCTGAGCCTGAATGGCTGAAAAACGCAGAGAAGAGGCTGGCGGAGCTTGTTTTCTTTTAAGAGGAAGAAGTTTCATAGCATAAAAACACAAGCTTTAAATTCAAAACACCAGTAAGACAGCAAGACACAGGTTCACTCTAAGCCTTCCCCTTCTTGTGTCACACATCCATGTGCACCTTCTGCTCCCTCTTCAGAAACTCCCCAGAGACTGTGCACACCCTTAAGCCCAGCTGCTCATGAGGCTGAGGCAGGAGGACCCCACGTTCAAGGCCTGCTGAGCAACTTGGTGAAACTGCTTCAAAAGAATTATCTTTCCAAAAATGGTGGGGCAGGGGTGTGGCTCACCCGCAGAGCCCTTGCTTAATGAGACTTCAGGCCTGGGCTTCGTCCCGGCACGGAGGGTGGGAGACCTGTGATTCTGCCACCTGCACAGGAAGGTGCTGGCTGGCAGAGTAGCAGCACGGAGCAAGTTCGGGAACAGAACCACGCTGAAGCAAAGCCGGTGTGCACTGTGGGTCGGCAGTGCCCGAGCGGGAGGGGAAGGGGCACCCGGAGCACCTGCCCCAGACGAGCAGGAGGTCCAAGCGCTGCCAGGAGCAGCACCCAGGCCTCCACAGCACGCTCTCACCATTAAAAGAGAAGCTCTGCGAGGAAATGTTCATTCCTTAAAAAGTGCAGAAGCTGTTAAGGAAATAGGCTGGCTAATCTCTCAAGGAAACGACTCCAGTTGAATTCACGGGGGGGACTCGAACAGCACTGTCCCCTACACGGAGGACACGGAGGGCGACTGGAGTGTTTCTCCTTCAGAGAGATCTGGGGCGCTGGGAAGCACGCAGGGCCGGGTCACCCTGCACTGTTGCAGTGGAGCTGGGGCGCAGG